TTTTGATTGGGAGCTGAGAGAAGAGAGAGCCTCATTCTCTTGGCCAAACCCACCCAGCTTAGAGTCTCAGTCATTGCTTCGAGATGGGAAGAGAAAGGGAGGGAGCAGGTAGTAGCTCAAGTGCCATAAACTCTCCCAGTTCTTACTGATATTTAATAAGTTTTCTTGAATAAATGTCTTAATTTGCTGTATGACCTTAGGGCAATTCCCAGAGACTTTAGATAGTTGTTTTAAAAATCATTTTTACTAGTTATCATTGTTTTGGGGGGAATGGGTTCACAGAGCTGTTCATGCTACCATTACACAATAGAGTCAGACACAGGGATTCAACAAAACATACTCTAGATTTCAGCAGTCCAGGAGACATTGGAATTACACTGTGGGCCCTTTCTGGGATCATTTGAATTAAGCATGATGTCCAGATACCAGTCTGAGTAAAAAACTTCCTGGAACTGAGAGCCTCGTGATAAGTGCTAATCTGCTCTGAAGCTGAAGAAAAAGATCCATTCAGATTCAGCATATTCATGGAGAGTACTGGGGAAAACATAGGAAAGTGGGCACACAACTTGGAAATCTGACTTATGGCCTATGACTTATTTTTCAAAGTTCCTGTCCTGAGCAGACCTTCCCACTCCCACAACGCAGTGAGCATTCAGATGTCTGCCTTCCTCCAAATCTGGTCTCAAGAAGCAGATGTTCCCTCTCCCACCTGTTAGGAGCTTTCAAGTTTCTTCTCTCCCCTAGATGGAACTCTTCCCCGGTGAGACAGCATTATTCGTCTCCACCCCCACACCATAAGTGGATACTCTAGTGTGTCGATCTGAAAGTCCTATTTTCTGCCCCATTATCACCACAGCCAGAACCCAGACCCACACGAGAGGCCACCCAACTCTTACAGCCAGGTTCTCTAATCCTGCTACCATCCCCGCGGTGGGCCCAGTGCCTAGCCACAGAGTATCAGCTTCCCTAGACCTAGGCCCATCTGAAGGTGTGCCCCTGCCCAAACACAGCAGGTCTCAGCACTCCAAGCATAATTCTTTAGTTTCACTTGCCTGGCCAATTCCCTGAGGTGAAAATCCCCTCCTCCCAAAGGACAGGCGCCAGTGTCCCCTGGGGCTTCACAGTGCCCTAGCCCATATAGTTCCTTTCAGGGAACATTCCCACTGGTCCTAATTATTTTACCCAAAAGAGATGATTTAACCTCAGAAGGTTTTCACTAGTTAGGTATCAGCTGAAAGTGATAGAAACTCTATCCAAATTATCTTAAGCTTCAAGAGGATTCTGGGGGGTGACTCAGAGAACGAGGGAAAGATAAGGCCTTGGACACTAGCCCCGGAGTGGGGAGACAGCACCTCTCTGGGAGGTCCTGTCCCCACTTCTCCTGATCTGCTTCCGGTCTTCAACCTTCCATCTCCTCTGCCTGTGGCTGTAGAACCAGCTAGAGGGCCATCCTCTTCACATCCCCTTCCAAAGAATAAATCAATTCTTTCCGTGGACATTTTCTGCAGTCTGCCCTTCCCATGGTCCCATTTCTGTTGTTCCATCAGGTACTAACTGCCCAGCCACTGCATGGCTGTGGCCAAGGGGTCCTCAGGGTGACACATCCTCTCCTTCCAAGGACTCTGCTCAGTTCTTGTGTCCTCCTGCCTCATAGATGATCCTTCTCCCTCAAAATCACCGCAGCCTCTTGCCACTCCAGAAAGAGGACAGGGGCAGGGATGCCTCAAAGTGGTTTTCAACCCCGGCTACACATGAGAATCACCCGGAGAACTTTACAAAATACCAAGCCCCCAGCCCTAAGCTAGATTCATTAAAATAAGCCTGTAGGCATCAAATGCCTGCGTTGGTATTTTTTCCATAGGAAATTCCAAGGCACAGCCAAGGGTGCAAAACATTGGCATAGGGACTGCAAGGTATCCCAGGTAAAGATAGTGAGGCTGAACTGGAAGGGGTACTGAGATGCACCCTCCAACCTCAACACATACACAAGGTCCTGTTGTCATGATTACAATCCTAGCACCCTAGAAGCAACAGTAGCTCATAGAAGCCCCTAGCTGCCAGGGAAACCTTACACTTTGTCCCTGCAAAGCATTGTCACTGTATCTCAGTTTGAAACTAGTTGCTAAGGCCTCACCTGGGGCAGAGAGCCAGTGTGTTGCTAGTTTTGAAGGTGCTTGGCAGAGGTGCTGGCTTCTGATCGCTGGGGTTGAGGGGCAAGCAGCCTCTCAGAAGAGGTTTTCCTGGAAAGGCAGAAGGGTATTTCTGGTGGAGAATCTGTATTTTTGCCCCTCCCTGCAGGTCACTGTGGTCTTAGGGAACCCTCTCTCCTTCTGTTTTCCAAGGGGAAGCACCTGGAATCTTGGGGTGGAAAGGGGAAGAGGAGGTAAAAAGTAGGCGATGCAGTCAGATACACCCAGAGCTGACCCCAGAGCCTCAGTAGCCTTCAGATAAGCTTGCAGTCATTCTTCTTGAGAAGAGTTGAGAAGGTGGCTGACTCAGAGCACTGATTCAAGCAACAGTCATTGCTTGGCTACTATATACTGTGAAAAGTCAAACGGAGGAAAATATTGACAGCAAACATAACATATATAAAGAGTCACTATGCTAACAAGTTTTACAGATCTATAAGAAACACATAAAGCCTCTCAAAAAACAATGTGAATAAACAGAGAATTCCCCAAAGACAAAAATATTGATAATTAATGAAATGTTTAGCCCAGCGGAAGCAGCAGCTCCTGTAGGCTGTTTCTGCCCACTCTGTGTTCTTGAGAATGGTCTCTTCTTTGCTTAATAAAGCTACTGGCTTGTCGTGCTACTTTGTAAAAAAAAAGAAAAGAAATGTTTAACCCTTGCTAGGAACCAAAGAGTCATATTAGAAAACCATTTCCACTACCAAATTAGCAGATATTCATTTAACATATAACATCCAGTCCAAACATTGGTTCGAATCATTCCCCCTCCAGGAATAGCAGATTCGTAGACAGTGCTTCCCTGCTAGTATGGTTCTCACTGCTCGCATTTCTCCACTTCTTCTGAACTAGGTATTTTTATTTTTTAGTTGGAGTCTCACTCCGGCACCCAGGCTGGAGTGCCGTGGCACGCTCACAGCCACCCCAGCTCTGACCTGCTGGGCTCCGGGGATCCTTCTGTCTCAGCCTTCCAAGTAGCCGGAACTACAGGCGCGCGCTACGACGGCTAATTTTTGGTTTATTGTAGAGACGAGGTCTCGCCAAGTTGCCGGAGCTGGTCTCGAACTCGCGGGCTCAGGCAATCCACTCGCCTTGGCCTGCCAAAGTGCTAGGATGACAGGCTGAGCCACCGAGCCCGGCATGAACTAGGTATTAACGTTCCCATTTTGCTGATTCAGAAACTAAGACACAGAGGTCAAGTCACACTGCTGATGTGCAGGGTGCCTGCTTCACGGCAGGTGGAAGGGGAAGTGAACATAAAACCTTTCTGCCCAGCAGGTCGAGGCTGCGGTGGCCGGGAGCGGCCACTGCACTCCAGTCTGGGCGACGGAGTGAGACTCCAACTCAAGAAAAACCCAAACCTTTCTGAATATGAAACCTTAGTGCTTGGAATCACCTATTGACAGCTGAAATATATTCATTCCTTTCCAGTTCGTAATCCAGCTCCCAGGAATCCATCCTAAGAAGAACCAGAGTTGAGCCATTTTGTTTTCTGCAGCACGTGTGCAATGACAGCGCATCCATTATGATGTTGGGCTTCGGCTGCGTCATAATGTACACTTAGTGGGATGGCAGTGGGGGCTCGCTCAGTTTTTAACGTGCCACACTGCCCTTTTGTTTTCTACAAGGGTGTACAAAAGCCACGTGCCTTTGTGGTTTGTGGGCTCGGTGCTGAGTTTCCAGGACACTGGGTCCAGGCAGTCGGGGCGGGATCTGGGTTCGGGGTGGAGTGTCGGCTCGGGCGCAGCATTCAGGCCGGGGCCCCTGGAGGCGCCCGGGCTCTGCGCTCCGGCGAGCGAGGAG